AGCTTCCTCTCTCGTCGTTCCTTTCGGGTGCGCCTTGGTACCGCTCTCTCTCCCTCTTTTCAGCAATACGAAGGTGTGCCCCAGGGTAGTGTTCTGAGCACTACTCTTTTTCTGGTTGCCCTCAATGGTCTTCTTTCCTCTCTTCCTTCTGGTGTCTTCTCCGCTCTCTATGTCGATGATCTTACCCTTTGTTGTCAGGGTGATGATTCGCCTCTCCTTCAACGCCGGCTTCAACTTGCAATTGATGCCGTGTCGTCTTGGGCCACTGATCATGGCTTCAAGTTCTCTACTTCTAAGACTTGTGCCATGACATTTACGCGGAAACGGGTTGTTCTTCGTCCCTCTTTGTCACTTTATGGTCATCCCCTTGAATACAAAGATTCCGCGAAGCTTTTGGGGTTATTCCTTGACACTCGTTTGTCTTGGTCTCCCCATATCTCTTACCTCCGTGTTGAGTGCTCTAAGGCCCTTACCCTCCTTCGGGTCTTGTCCCATACTTCTTGGGGGGCAGATAGGCGCACTCTCCTTGCTTTACATTCTTCTCTCGTCCTGTCTAAGCTCGATTATGGTTGCCCTGCTTACTCGTCTGCTTCTCCTTCTACTCTTCGCCGTCTTGATGCTTTGCACCATACTGGGTTGCGCCTCAGTTCTGGTGCCTTTCGTTCGACTCCCGTCCTTAGCTTGTATGTTGACACTGGCTTCCTGTCTCTCCAGGACCGCCGTGATCGCTACTGTCTTCGCTATCTTGCGCGGTCCTTGCAACATCCTTCCTCTCGCCTCTGTCGTGCTTTAACTTTTACCCCTCCTGCGGTTCCTGTTCCTCTTCACCACCTCCCTCTTTCTGTCCGGTTATCTCGCCTGCAGGATTCTCTTTCCGTTCGTATTTCTGATGTTTCTCCTCGTGTTGTTCCTTCTTTGCCCCCGTGGAGGGTCCCTCTTCCGCGGTTTTGTACTTCCTTGACCCGTGTCACTAAAGCTTTTACCCCTCCTACGGTTCTAAAACGCCTTTTCCTCGAGCACTTTTCTTCTCACTCCCGCTCCGTTTCTGTCTTCACCGATGGGTCTAAGTCAGCGGACGGTGTTGGCTACTCTGTTGTTTTTCCTGATCGCACTTATATGTGTCGCTTGCCTCCGGAGACTAGCATCTTTACAGCGGAACTTTATGCTATTCTCTATGCTCTTCGTCTCCTACTTTCTCGTTGTCAGTCTTCCTTTGTAGTTGTTGTTGACTCTCGTAGTGCCCTCATGGCTCTCGGGTCCTTTAATCCAGTTCATCCAGTGGTTGTCGAGATCCAGCATTGGCTGTTTCTCGTTCATAGTAAATTTAAGTCGGTTGAGTTTTGTTGGGTTCCCAGCCATATTGGTGTGTCTTTAAATGAGCGTGCGGATGCTGCCGCCAAGGAAGCTGTCCGCTCTTGTCCCATCTCTCGTAAGGGCATTCCGTATTCCGACTTTTACCCGGTTATCCATTCCTCAGTCCTTACCCGTTGGCAGGCTTCTTGGTTGTCTGTTACTGGTAACAAGCTACGTACTCTTAAATGTTGTGTTTCCTCGTGGCAGTCCTCCTTCCACCGTAACCGGCGGTGGGAAACAGCTCTGGCGAGGTTGCGTATTGGCCATACTCGCTTAACCCATGGTCACTTGATGGAGCGCCGCCCTGCTCCTTATTGTCCTAGTTGCATTGTCCCTCTTACGGTCGTGCATGTCCTTCTTGAATGTCCTGACTTCCAGGACGAGCGTATGTTTTGCTTTCCGACCGCCCCTCGCGGTCACCTGTCCCTCGATAGAATTCTTGGTGACTCGGATACTTTTGATATCGTTCGCCTTATGCGTTTTTGTTCTCGTATTGGCATCCTTGGTGATATTTAGCGCCCTCTGATTATTTTGCGTATTTGATGGTGCTACATAGCCTTCCCGGTTTGGTGCCTTCTTTTGATAATTACTTACTTACTTCTCATCAAGGTCACTAGTATTGGTGGCCCTCACGTAAATTCAGGTAAATAATTTGTTGCTCTTTTAGGGGTCTTTTTAATAAGTTACATCACACTCATTCTTACATATCTATATCAGAGGAAGTTTGATTCTGTCCAAGGTTGGGGCCCAGATGCTTGGGGTTAACCTCATTAAACTTTGCAAGGTGACTGGTGGGTGTTGGAGGAACGTCATAGAGTGGGTCAGGGTCAGATTTCCTTTCATGAAGTCAGTAAAGATGATATCTTTGAGGCAAAGTCCATCATATTTTATTATTCGTTCATTACATTACTCACATATTTGGGAAAGTGTCATTCTCTGCATTGCCCTGATAGGGGCCCAGGTATGCATCTCTATGCAAGGTGATGTCTGCCTCTTTGTCAGAGACTGGGGACCAGATGCTTGTAGCCAAGCTCATCAAACTTTGCAGGGTAATAAAGTAGCTGTCACGACTGCAAGAAAAATGGCAGGTTGGATAACAAGGACCTTCCAAACAAAGGATTCCATACCAGTAATGATAATTTTTAAGACATTAGTTCTCTCTCTCTTGGGTGGAATATTGTTGAACTCTAACAGCCCCGTTAAGAGACAGAAATTGTTGACCTAGAGAGCGTGCAAAGATCCTTTAGTGCTTCAATCCACTGTATAAGTCATATTAATTATTGGGACCATTTAAAAGTTCTAAATCTGTATCCTTTAGATCACAGGCAAGAGAAATACATAATAATCTAAATGAGGAAGATATTAGTGGGACTGGTTCCAAATCTGAACACAGAAATAACACAACATGAGACCAATAGACATGGCAGGATGTGCAGAATACCCCCATTGAAAACCAGAGGTGCAAAAGGTACGCTGAGGGAGAACTCTGTCAACATCAAGGGCCCAAGAATTTTCAACACTCTCCCGCCACACGTAAGGGGCATAACTGACTGGCCTCTCTCATTGTTCAAGAGAGAAATCGACAAACACCACCAAAGAATACGTGATCAACCAAGTTCTGATTCACATGTCAGGCTGCGAGCTGCCGCGTCAAACAGCCTGGTTTACCAGACGACCAACCGGAAGGTTCTTTGGAGACCGGGCCGTGGGGCCGTTGATCCCTGGAAGCTAGACAAGGTAGCCACAAGGTAGGGTGACTGGTAGGTGTAGGGAGACACCTACCAGTCTTCTCTCCAGACCTCATAGGAGAGGTCAGGCTCGGCCCCCATGCCTGTTATTTATGGGTCTGGTAAGAGGTAGTAAAAGAATGAGGTGCCAAAATGTGGGCGGTGATGACATATTTGTCTTTGGAAGCTTCCAACATTTAATTGGCACAACATTTTGGTGTCCAGCATATGGTGATATCTATAGTCAAGATGATGGGGAATGTGTCATTCTGCAGGCGTGTGTTCTGCACCAACCGGAGCCAAACATCTCTGGGTGATTGGAAGGTCAATTAAGACATTTGATAGGTGGTTGGGGGTCAGCCCTCTTGCCCTCTTCATGGACATGAAGTCAGTCAGGAAAAGACACATCAAAACACATCTTCTGATGGTAGATTTGCATTATGTGGCTCAGTACTTAAAGTGAGTATGGTTGTGGGGTCTACCCGGGCACTGCCAGGTACCCCATTTAGCATGGTTGTGGGGTCTACCCGGGCACTGCCAGGTACCCCATTTAGCATGGTTGTGGGGTCTACCCGGGCACTGCCAGGTACCCCATTTAGCATGGTTGTGGGGTCTACCCGGGCACTGCCAGGTACCCCATTTAGCATGATTGTGGGGTCTACCCGGGCACCGCCAGGTACCCCATTTAGCATGGTTGTGGGGTCTACCCGGGCACCGCCAGGTACCCCATTTAGCATGGTTGTGGGGTCTACCCGGGCACTGCCAGGTACCCCATTTAGCATGGTTGTGGGGTCTACCCGGGCACCGCCAGGTACCCCATTTAGCATGACTGTGGGGTCTACCCGGGCACTGCCAGGTACCCCATTTAGCATGGTTGTGGGGTCTACCCGGGCACCGCCAGGTACCCCATTTAGCATGGTTGTGGGGTCTACCCGGGCACTGCCAGGTACCCCATTTAGCATGGTTGTGGGGTCTACCCAGGCACTGCCAGGTACCCCATTTAGCATGATTGTGGGGTCTACCCGGGCACCGCCAGGTACCCCATTTAGTATGGTTGTGGGGTCTACCCGGGCTCCGCCAGGTACCCGTATTTAGTAAAATATGTAACATTGTGAACATTTATACATTTATTCATGATGTCAGACTGAGACATTCCTTTCATATAGATAAGTAACAATTTAATTTCAGAAAAAAATTCAGTGTTTACAAATGAAATCTTTGTATTGCATTTATTGTTTAATTTAAAATAAAGATTTATTAACAATAATAAAATATATAAGTACTGTACATGGAATCCAAGCATAATTATAATTTATGGAACAAGTATATTCTAAAAAACATTTCTTAACAATTTGATAATTAAAATTTTATCAAAAGCATCCAACGTTTCAATATTGGTGTATATTGGCATCAGGTTTACATTTAGACATGTTTCATTGAATACGACTGCACATACCGTGTTGATTATTTTCTTGTTTAGGGCTTCTATTCTTCTGACTAGTGCTCTTGTGGATTGGTTTAATTGGAAGAGGAGTTCTACCTCTTCCTCTTTAATTGGAAGAGGATGTCATAGTTGTTCAAGGCTGACTAAAAGAACAAAAACTAACTATATTATGCATTATATTTATTATAATTTACACAATGTTTTGAACCAACGAAGGTTTATTCTCAAGTGAGGAGTGACAAGACATGAGGAAACAACCGACTTACAGCACTGGAAAGTCAGTGTTGTAACTCGTATGTTGTAACAAGCATACAAATTGTCAAGTGAATTGTGAAAGAAATAAGAGTAAAGGGAAAATGAGAAAATGGGCCTATAAACTATGCATACAAAACTAATCAAAACTGAATATGCAGTCATATTTAATGAAACGTGTCTAAAGTTTCAATACTACACTAACACTCGCTAATGTCTTGCAGTATTACCTGGAGCTGAACAAACCTTACCAAGCAGAGAACACAGAGAGCAGTTTCCTGAGCATGCTGCAGAGTCCTGATTATTCCTCAAAAGTGCGTGATGTAAGTCCAAATATTGATGATGAAGGATATGAGATGCCATTCAGTCCAAGTCCATTTCAAGACGTTTTGATAGATGGTGAAACCCACAATGGACAGCGTGTTCACACTCCACGTCTAACTCCTTTGCAAATAGATTTACTTCAACAGGGGACTGGAATGACTAGTCCTAGCTTAATTAAAACTAGTTTCTCAATGTCTTCACTCAAGAAAAACAATGAGAATGTATTTATCTTTGATCAAGAAACTATTATATCTGTAAAAAAGAGTGATGAGGCACTTGCAAACACCGAGGAAGAATCTGATGCCGATTCATACCTAAAGATGGGCCCTGGATTAACACCAAATACAACAGTGAGTTATGGAAGTCGAGAAAATTCCCCGCTAGTTAGGATTGGAGAGGTCCCTAAACCTGAGAGAGCGCCAAGAAATCAATCGAATGGAAATTTTGGTATTGTTCGTCATAAACTGGTTCATAGCACATCAGAGATGGAGAAGAGTGACAGCGGCGTTCACAGCCCCACAGCATACATGCAAACAAATCCAGGTTACGTCAACATCAGAAGCTTTCCTAAAATGGGAGAAGGGGATATTTCCTCTGTTAAATTAGCTACTCAAGAAATAAATTAGCTTTCAGAATGATGATTACTATGAACAACTTCCGTACCTAAAAGCTTTGGCCAGATGTATTGCACAATGAAACTGGAGAAAATATTGATCATCTTTCAGTAATCATCTACCATCTGAAAGGTAGAACAGAACTCAACCTGAAGCTTCGGTTTGTTAGGCTCCTTATGTGTAGAACATCTACCAGAGCTCAGTAGTGGATGATGTCGTATATACTCAGTCACTCGGTTAAACACCGCTCAATCTGGCCACTAACGGGATGGGATATATGTCCCTGACAATGGTATACCATACCATGAAGAATGGCATGCAATATGGGAGGAGAAAGTAGCTGTATAAGCAATATTTAACAACTTTAGAATGTGTTCAGGGTCTTTCATATTTTTACCATATACTTTAATAATTCAGGATATAAGTGAGAAAGAGACTGCTGCAACCAAACAGCAGTATACTAATATGAAAACTGTGTGTGGGCAATGGTGAAGTTTTTTTGTCATTACATTATATGCTTTTTTGTCATTACATTATATGCTGCAGACATAATGCTGACCATAAGTTTGTCTTGAGTTCAATATTACCAGATAGTACAATTAAAGTACCAGTAACAATAATGAGTGAAAAATGTCAGTATAATGATCACTTGTAATTATGTAAAACAGTGAGTAATATGCATTCTGATATGGTATTCGATATTATATTTAAATTAAAATAGCTAGGCAGGAATCAAGGGGGTTAATGTGAAGATTTTCTTTCTTATGGACATTTGCTAAAATTGAGCTAATCTGTAAAGTCAAAGATTGACCTGCTGTGTGAACAAATCCACAAGGGCCGTGACGAGGGTTCGAACCTACGTCCGAGAGGATCCCAAACGTTGCCTTAATCGACTGAGCTACAATCCTTGTGGATTTGTTCATTTGATGCATCACGTCATTATGATTTCTGTGTGTCTGCTGTGTGAAGATTAGGAATCAAACGGATTGAGAAAGCAAAATTGAGCATTTTCAACGATAACAGTTTGCATCACTTGTTTTAAAACTACAAGAATCATAGTGTACTAGAAATCCTGACTTGTGTTTCAAGAAAGCATGAGGCCACAGAGGTTTGAAACTCAAAAATATAAGTAATTTATGTTGTGTATGTGATGGAGTGCGAAAAGATAAGTGAATTCAGAGACAATTCTATAACCAATGTTCCAGCAATGTGTAAATATTTCATTTAAAATGATCTGCTACTAGAAATTTTAGCCAAATATCCCCAGTTTGCTAACTGTAGGTAGTAACTAAGTGATTGTAACCTATCCACCGCTGCCCACTGGATGGAGGGCGGTGTGCAGGACAAACATATCAATTGTGACACTAGCTCTCCATACATGTCAGTTGCTTAATTTAGAAACTGTACTTGTGGTCGATCTCGAACCCATTTGTTTTGTGACCACTTATATTGAATTTTGTAACTAGCTCATCAAGACTGTAACTTGCTTAGCTAATGAATTGTGGGGTTCAGTCCCTGAGCCCATTATGTGCCTCTGTAACCCTTTCCACTACCGCCCACAAGATGGGCAAAGAAAATAAAGTTTTCTGAACATACGTGCCTAGGCATAAGGCATGAAGCCTTATACCTAGCTGTCTTAAGCCAAGAGTGTATTATAAAGGTTCGGTCAAGGCAGGGACGTCTTGACAGCATTGTAGGCCCTGGCCAAAGCAATGCATTGTGGCCTCCTACCCAGATGATGGTCCCTAGGGCCCCTACCCAGATGATGGTTCCTAGGGGCCCCTATCCAGATGATGGACCCTAGGGCCCCATACCCAGATGATGGACCCTAGGGCCCTTACCCAGATGATGGTCCCTAGGGCCCCTACCCAGATGATGGTCCCTAGGGCCCCTACCCAGATGATGGTCCCTAGGGCCCCTAACCAGATGATGGTCCCTAGGGCCCCTACCCAACTGATGGACCCTAGGGGCCCCTATCCAGATGATGGACCCTAGGGCCCCATACCCAGATGATGGTCCCTAGGGGCCCCTATCCAGATGATGGGCCCTAGGGGCCCCTAACCCAGATGATGGGTCCTAGGGGCCCCTACCAGATGATGGACCCTAGGGCCCGTACTAAGATGAGGAGTCCTGCCCATCTGCTAAAGTGCAGAATTACCGTCAGTGATGTACAAATTATTTATATTCTAAATATAATTTAAAATGAGATTTAAATTCCATGTCTTTCCTGCAAGAGGTCGAGTAATTACCTGGCAAGATATATATATATATATATATATATATATATATATATATATATATATATATATATATATATATATATATATATATATATATATATATATATATATATATATATATATATATATATATATATATATATATATATATATATATATATATATATATATATATATATATATATATATATATATATATATATATATATATATATATATATATATATATATATATATATATATATATATATATATATCTATCTATCTATCTATCTATCTATCTATCGTGCATGCCTCACAGCTGTGCAGGGGACTTCCTTTTGGCAGTCCCTATGTCTGCGACAGGCACACGTCTTGATCCGCAGGAGCTCCGTATTGCAGTCGCTCTCCGTCTTGCTGCCCCTATCCACACTGTTCATAGGTGTATTTGCGGCGAGGCAGATGCTGACGAATATGGACTGCATGGCCTGCACTGTGGAAAATCTGGTGGTTGGCACACTAGACACGACGAAGTCAATGACATCATTAAAAGAAGCCTTGCCTCTGCTCAGTGTCCAGCGGAGAGAGAGCCCCGCAACCTACTGAACCGTGACTCTGTTAGCTTTGCCGGCCGACCAGACGGAATCACACTGCGACCGTGGAAGGGTGGCAGACAGTTGGCATGGGACTATACTTGTGTATCCACCCTGGCAACCACATACATCAGCCTCTCTGCCGGCACAGCAGGAGCCGCGGCGACATGCAGAGAAAGAGACAAGTCAGCCAAGTACAGGCAATTAGATCATCAGTACAACTTCGTTCCAATAGGGTCTGAGACCCTAGGCCCATGGGGAGAGAGTGCAAGAAGGTTTCTTAAGGATCTTGGTTCCAAGCTCATTGACACCACAAGAGACCCTAGAGCAGCAAGTTTTCTCTTTCAGCGCCTCAGTGTCGCGATCCAGAGGGGAAATGCTCGCTGCATCCTCGGTTCCTGCCTGGCGTCGGAGGAGTTCGAGGAAATCTACAGCCTCTAGGAAGCGAACTTTTTTTTGTGTCCTCTTAATGTTAATTTTTTGTATAAAATCAGATATGTAACTGTATAACCTTGCATAATAATGTGTACACCATAAAAAAGGGGGGTGGTAGGAGAAGCGAACACTCTTACGTATTCAAAGTTAAATGGCAAGTTTTTCCCTGAATGCTCTGTGTTCCCTTCTCTGAGGCTGTGGGTCCCTATAATTGCACCAGTGGTGGTACCCCCCTATATATATATATATATATATATATATATATATATATATATATATATATATATATATATATATATATATATATATATATATATATATATATATATATATATATATATATATACACACACACATATATATATATATATATACATATATATATATATATATATATATATACATATATATATATATATATATACATATATATATATATATATATACATATATATATATATATATATATACATATATATATATATATATATATATATATATATATATATATATATATATATATATATATATATATATATATATATATACATACATATGCATGCATATGCAAACAAGCTTGAATGGTCCCCAAGCATATATGCAAATGAAAACTCCACACCCCAGAAGTGACTTGAACCCGGACCTCCAGGAGCTAAATCATTTATATATATTATGAATAACAGCGGTCCCAGGACAAAGTCTTGAGGCACTCCACTTACAACATTTTCCCAGTCTGACTTAACCCCATATATACTAACACTGTTTCCTTTGGTATAGCCATGCCCTAATCCAACTTAATATAACACCCCTACACCATGAGCCTCTATCTTTTTAATCAGTCTTTCATGTGGCACTGTACCAAAAGCTTTGCTAAAGTCAAGGTACACAACATCATAACCCTTACCACTATCAACTGCCTCAACTTTGCTGTAATAAAATGATAGCAAATTTGTTAAACATGAATGGCCATCACCATCACCTCTGCACTCACACGTGCACGATTCCTTGCCAACTGAATACTTTCCAGGCTTTGTTTAGTCCAGATACATGGACTAAGTATTTTGATCTTAGACATGTTGACCCTACTCGTCCTGATAATTTATTTCTCCCATAAACACCTAGTTGATTCGGTGGATACATATATCACTTTACCCCCACCCATATTGGTACACATGTCGTTGTTGCCTCTTCTCGGGAAGAGGCTGTTGGAAATAACCAACAGTTTTATACATCTTTGTATTTTATGCAACCTTTGTATTAACTACAAGTAGTTACTAAAATTACTAACTTGTAGATTTAATCATTATCATGATTTATTTACACATATTGCCAGATTCTTCCTAGTCAGAGTGACGACGTGAGGAACGTCAGGCAGTAACATGAATTCTCTCCACATTTAGTTGGATTTATAATAGTCCAGTTTATCATTTCCTTTACTAAAAATAGTTACGAATAAGTTTAATTTTGTAGTATACTACTACTTACTGGAGCTCCCTTATTTAGTTGATATTAAACATTCTAGAGGAAATTACTTTAATGTAAATGATTTTACTTTAATTTCCTCGATTAGTTGCACAACTTTAATAAGCCAATTTATGTTACAAGAAATTCTATTTTATCATAGTAGAATTTAATGTGATATTAATACTCGTCACTACCTCTTCCTTCCTTAGTCAATTGCGATATATACATATCCATTTACGCTCGAGATGTCTATCGAGAGCCGCGCATGCGCAATAAGGAAGAGGAGGAAGACAGGAGAGCGTCACTAGACACGAGGGAACGAGAGAGCACGACGCGGACGCCATTGACAGCGTGTAGCAGAGCTACGTTTTGATCCCATTTATTTCGCTCCAACGACCAGTAGAGCGGTGCCACGTTATCTGGCACTTTAGCCGTGTCCCAGACTAGCATATGAGCAATTCCAAAGTCAATGCCTTTCAAGCAGCAGCTGGAGGATGAAGAATTGCTCAAGTCTCCACATCAACGGACACGCGGCTCGGCAGCTAGGTTTACCTTTTTGTTATTATGTGGCCACAATTAACATTTAGGCTAGTTGTTAGGCCGTAGAACAAATAATACAATCCCATACGTGTCTTAAGTAAATTTACCATCTAAATAGATGATTAATTTCATTATTTTCTCCAAAGAGAATTTACAGTGCTTGAATATAAATTGCACAGATATTGGCTGAAATTTCCTACAGTTATCCTCATAATTTAGGATGTATTTGTAGTTACTTATTATGTAGAACCCCCTCCCCGCTCAGCTCGTTGTCGCCGTCTGGGGGCTTAGTGGGCGGCTGCCGGAGTGTGATGCTCCTTGGGACAGTCCTCTGTCCTTTTCTAGCCTTGTGCTCCTGCTGCCGTCCTCTCCAATTCTGCTGGGCATCTTTTCCTTTTCCTTCTGTTTCGTTTTTCTCCCCCCTCTTCTCCTATCTGCTTGCCGTTTCCTGCCGACCTTTTGCTCGTTCTGGTTCTTCCCTTGGACTTCTTCTACTTTGACGCCCGGGTGCTTGAGGAGGCATACTCTTGCACCCGTAGAACTGCGGTACCCGACGTCGAGAGCGAGGGGAACCTTTTATTGTCAATCCCCACTTCGTCACTGAACCCGATCTCGACGGACTGTCGGTTTCTTAAGGTGGCGTTTGTGGGGCGTATACTCACGACGCACCCCTAGGAGGCCCCGACAAGATCGGCGATAGCTTCTTGTTGGGTGTCCTGCCTCTAATTGTGGCTCCATGGTGGGTGTGGGGGCACATTCGTGAGTGAATTCGTAATTTCGTCAAGATGATAACCCCTGTTTCGGCTGTTTCTGGCTTACCTTTTCAGGCTCGTGGGGTGGGCGACCAAGCCCCCGAGTCGCTCCGTATTGGAAGACCGGGCTCTGTAGCCTCCGCTGCATTGGGCCCCGACCTTGCTCCTCCTTTGGCCTCTCTGACTCCTTCCCCTGGCTCCCCTCCCTCCTCTGTAGTTGGGTCGAGCCCCAAGCCCCCAGTGGTGACTACCTCGTCC